TCCGTAGCGTGGCGCTACGGACGGCGGGAAAGTAGTTCGGCTGCCCGATGACGTTTTACGTATTATAGGAGTTATTTTTACCGTTGTTTACGGATACTGCCACAATTTTTATAGGAATCATAACTATAGGAAACGGTTTTATAGGGGGATCTACTGTATATATGTATAAAAGATACAGTTAAAATATAATGTATTGATATAATTTAAAATAATGTTATATATAGTAAGAGTCAAAAATATTTTTATTATAATTTATATTATGTTAATAGTTGCAAATATTTATAGAAGAAGCATCTTTTGTAACAACACACTTTTACCAATATTTGCACTTATTAAAATATCTTGCAGCTCATTCTGCATTATTCTTTAAGTACAATTGTCACAGCATGATTTCCTTTTTCTGCTGATGTCAGTCTATGAACTTTCTATAAAGCTTCATTTTGGTGAAGATATGAAAGTCTGCAGGAGAGGTTTGGTGAATAAGGAGGCTATGAAAGTCTGGTGTTTTTTCACATACTCACTAACTAGGAGAGAGTGATATGCCATTTAATAAGTTTATTGTCATATATAATATATATTTATTTATAATATTTTTAATAATAAAGTAAATGAAGTAAGTATTAAAAAACTTGGCAGACATTGTTTAATTTTTAAAAATACACCAAATTTTGCAAACTTCTTCACTTTCCTTCCGTCTTTTGTGTCCATCAGCAGTCCAGAACAAATTTATAGGCGGAGACGACTTTTCCTTAGAGACTGCGGCCCTGCAACAATATGCAAACTGGAACAGTGTCCCCTGGAGATTAGCCAAATTCACAGTAAAATACATTAAATGAAGTACCAGTTAATGTTTTTATGAGCAGATGCAGAATTTCTATTTACAAAAATAAAAGAATGGATACATTTTTGTTTTGAATTACTCTAAAATAAATTAATCATTAAAGATTTAAATAAAACTGTTGTTGATTTTTATATAACACATTTTTTTAACACATTAAGTGTTCCAACTTGTAATTTTTTTTATCCCTACAGGCAAATATTTTACATGTACATACAGTACACTTAATGTACTGTATTGTACAGTATCACAAAGCTGATATCCAGAATATATTTTCAGAGAAATATCTGGTAAGAAAACAAGTTATGTTCAACAGAAAACGTACTCGGCAAAGTAATAATCAACACCTAATCCGTTGCCGAGGGAGTTTATTTAAAAAACGAACGTTTTCGATCTACTTCATAGATCATCTTCAAGTTGAAAAAAACGAATATGGAATAACCACAAAGAATAGAACATCAAATTTAAAATTCAAAAATATCGACAACTGAGTAATTAAGTAAAATAATTAAAGTGTAAAATACCAATTGTAAAGATAAATAACATACAACAATAAATAAGTAATAGTCGTTAACAGTTAACAAAAATTATAAATGCTCTCATAACGTGAATTGCGAATCAAGTCGTCATTCATAAGCCATTTGTAAGTCTTTTAATAGCAAACTTCCATGCTGAGGGTAGGCCCTCCGCATCTCTGGCGTTTATACATCTATCATCAAGTTTGCTTCTGTATATTTCCATTTTTTTGGCTGTCTTTGCTAAAGTTGGAGAGTGTATTTGCTTAATGATTTCAGCTTCTTCCCATCCAACTACGGAACCTTGGGCTTGAGCCATCTGGGCCAGCACAGTTGCGTTTGATTTTTTTCTAACATCATATTTATGCTCTCTGACCCTTACCCCCAATTTCCT